ATAAAACAGAAGAAAAATTGGGGAAAAAAGCTGCTCACCAAAGACTGTGTTTGCGGGGTTCATGCCGGCCTGGTTAATGGCGGCTTCGTCTATGAAACGCTCGCCGTCGGCGAAAGCGACATAGGAGGGCGTCGTGCGATTAACTTGATCATTGGCAATGATCTCGACGCGGTCGTGGTGCCACACGCCCACGCATGAGTAAGTGGTCCCCAAATCAATCCCGATTGCAGGCTCCTCGCCTTTTGCAGCCATTACTGAAAGAACAAAGTGAGGGAAAACTTGAATAAATAACCAAAATCAAACTTATAAGTTGATTAATCAGCTCTCGCTCGGATTCAGTATGAACTGCGCGAGCAGGTTGTTGTTTGTTGACCTTGCTCGCTCGCCCTCGTTGACCGGGAGTCTCATAGATGACTGGTTATCTACATTTGTGTACAATGTTCGCTCTTTCTGAGTGGGGACAGTCGTGTTCCGCGGGACCACGACATACATGGCCTCCCCGACAGTGTGCACTCCTAGTGAGAGAGGGGTCACATCGAGGAGTACGAGGTCCCGCACCTTGTCGTCCCCTATGCCACGTAGGACGGTTGTATGCACGGCGGTACCGTACGCAATAGCCTCATCCGGGTTAATGCTCCTGCACAGCTCCTTTCCCTCGAAAATAAACTGCAGCATCTTCTGAACCTTGGGAATCCTGCTCGAGCCTCCAACCAGAACGACATCATGGATGGCAGCCTTCTCCACCCCAGCATCTCTCAGGCAGCTCTCTACAGGCTCGGCGCATTTTTCGAACAGGTTCATGTTGAGATCCTCGAATTTAGCGCATGTAATGCTAGAGTAAAAGTCAATTCCCTCGTGCAGACACTCAACGTCCACATTGGTCTTAGTATTGGTCGAGAGAACCCTCTTCGCCCTCTCGCAAGCTGTCCTCAGCCTCTGTAGGGCCCGCAGGTTTTCAGAAAGGTCCTTGTTGTACTTGCGCTTGAACTCTTTGGCAAAGTGAGCAACAATGCGGTTGTCGAAATCCTCCCCGCCAAGGTGGGTGTCGCCAGCGGTGGCCCTCACCTCGAAGGTACCCTTTGATATTGTCAGGATNGACGTCACAGGTGCCACCTCCTAAGTCGAAGACCAACACATTCTTCTTCTCTGCTTTGTAGTTGAGGCCATAGGCAATGGCGGCAGCAGTGGGCTCATTGATGATGCGGATGACATTGAGGCCGGCAATGGCACCGGCATCCTTGGTGGCCTGTCTTTGAGAGTTGCTAAAGTAGGCCGGGACGGTGATGACGGCATCCCGGACAAGGGTGGGGCCAGATAGGAGTCGGCAATGACGGCCATCTTGGTGAGGACCATGAAAGATATCTCCTCAGGAGGAAAAAAGTTAAAGTGCGAAGGCATTGCGCGATGAATATACGACAATTATACAATTGATAAACTATAGTTATGCAGTCCATTCGCATNGCGAAGGCATTGCGCGATGAATATGCGACAGTTATGCAATTGATATACTATAGTTATGCAGTCCATTCGCATAACCTTGGCACTTCTCAGGGTGAAAAAGTTAGATTGTTAGTGAGCGGTGTGAAAAACTTAATGTATCTTTGTATTGGGGGTGAAAAAATTTTTTTGCAATTAATAATACAACCAACCATTCAAAAGGTGAGAGCTGATTAATTACCATACCAGTTTGATTGTGATTATATATTCAAGTTCTCGCTCAAATTTTTGATTCAGTAATGGCCGCAAAAGGCGAGGGGCCTGCAATTGGGATTGATGTGGGGACCACTTACTCATGCGTGGGCGTGTGGCACCACGACCGCGTCGAGATCATAGCCAATGATCAAGGAAATCGCACCACGCCATCCTATGTCGCTTTTGCCGACGGCGAGCGTCTCATTCGCGAAACCACCATTAACCAGGCCGGCATGAATCCCGCAAACACAGTCTTTTGGTGAGCAGCTTTTTTCTCCAATTTTTCTTTTGTTTT